AGCCCTAGTGTCAGCCACTACTACCCCAGTTGGCGAGCAGGTCTCTGGAGGCTGCCTGAGTTTAATGACGTCACAGATGGACTGTTCGTGCATAACATGATGGAACGTGGCGGGGACTTGACCTTTTTCCCAGAATGCGTTGGCGAGTACACTGCAGGCTTCCCTTGGTGTAACACTGGTGTCTTCAGGGAAGCTAATCGAACGCACCCAATCACACAGTCTCCCGTCAATAGCGCCCTCTACTGGGGTATTGGTTGAGTGTGTTGATGAATAAACCAGCTGCTTGTTAATTGTTGTATACAAGTCAGGAGTCCAGGCGAAGTTTATTTCAAGTCAGGTCTGTCCGGGTTACGTCATTAAGTTTCGACCAATCAGATTAGCCATCATCTCGACAAAGACCAGCTTTCTTGGGAAACGGTATACTTCGGTCCCGACGGACTCGTCCCTAGCCGCTCAGGGACTCTCCGGCGTGCCGTCCGACCCGCCGCGCCTCGAGGAGGAGGGCGCCCTCGCCTTCGTCGGAGGGGCGCGACGTCACAGTATACTGAATGAGGTTGCTGCTGATGACGGCAAATTCGTTTAATTAATTGTGTGGACTTTGTGTTCGAAGGTTAGTCGTAATTTGAGGGTAGTATAACACAGCTTAGGTAGAATTCACACTGAAAAGTAGTTGAAAGAAATGTAGCTTGTTTTCAGGGTAATGTCGATTGTCGATTCCAACGAACGCTCAAGGGTAAAGAGATACGTTTTTGCCCTAGTTTTCGTTAAACAATGACATTTCTACCTGCTCGTGGCTTAATTATATCGGACTCGGTGTTGTGTCATGGCTTAGCGCCTGGAATAGCGAATAAGAGAGTTTCTCAAACCGCCTAGCGATTGGCCAAATAGGATATGTGATTTGGAACTCATCTTTTCGATTGTGAAATATTTCAACACATTTTGTGTCGTTTTATTTCTAAAGAATGGTTGATTAAAACTTTTGACAAAGACGTCTGAGAAATAAATAAAGCTGAAAATTAAAATTGTTTTTGTTTGGAGCAGATAAAAATCAGAACATGGAGGTGGAGCTAGCCCAGGTTGGACGTTGTCTTCAGATCGGACGTTGTCTTCAGATCGGACGTTGTCTTCAGATCGGACGTTGTCTTCAGATCGGACGTTGTCTTCATTTCATTATGACTGACGTCCAGGGTATAAAAGTTGTGTACAAAACGACCACAAATTTGGTTCTAATTTGTTCTTGGTTCACCCTGTTGAAGAAACTAATTTTTCACATTTACAAGTTCTTCGTGGCCTTATCTATCAGTCTGGGGGGGTTCAGGAATGTAAGAACGAATCATGGACTACAAACTCGAGGAAAATAAGTGAGAGCAAAGTTACCTTTGTAGACGTAATTCATCCATTCTCGAGTCCGGTTGTAAAGTGCCCGCACGTGGAATCTGAGCTGCGTGCACGCACCACGCGTGCGCGATTTCCAGTGAAGGTCTGTTGCACGCTTGCTATACACGGAGGCCGTGACTGGTACCCGGCTATAACGCATAGGCGTATACGCAGGGTTCTCGTACGGGATCAACGATCTCTCTTTGAAGTGTTTTAACATGTTTAATTTGTTCGTAGAGTTTTATTGGTTAAAGATGCATAAATACACAATACTGCAGAGATCCGATCTTTATTAAAATGAAACAGTAACTTATCTTGCTAAATGAGGAATAAAAAGAGGATTACATTGCGGGCATGATGATCGTGATGAACAGGTGGGAGCGATACTATACTGATTAGTAACGTTAGTAACGTTCAAGTACGTCCGACTTTATTTTCCCATTTTTGTCTTTGGTGGTGATATGTCGAATTTCTTAACCCACCAGACGTAATTGGTAGTCCATCGTTTTTGATGAAGACAAAATAGGAGAGAGAGATGAGAGGATTTAATTATTACGTAGGGTTGGTCTTGCAGGCTTGCAGGTGAGCTGCTAGATCCTCCTCCTAAATCCCTCCTAGCCTTGCACAGTAAAAAAAGCAGACCCGCGACGTCGTGCCCCTATTGTCGAGTCTCTCTGGGCTAGAGGCGGGAGCTAGAAGTACCTCCATGGACAGAAACATGGTCTATTTCAACTTGAACTGGAAGATAATTGAAAAAAAAATTGAAAGGAAAATCATGGATTGAACAAAAGTGGCCAAAGTCATTAAGAACGCCAGCAAAATACATACAAATTCCATACTCTGACCTCGCAGGTTCAGAACGCACTGAGAGAAGTCACCCAACGAGTATTGCTTCTTTAGGAAGAATTGAAAAACATGATTGAATGGGAAAGAGAGTCCCTGGGAAAAGGTAACTTGTTCAGTTTTTCAGATTGCTTCATACTTTTGATCACTAAAATGCTTAGCGAAAGAGGGACCCAGACCAAGTGAGGAACTTGCTTTATTGAAATAATACCTCTCAAAGAAAATAATCATTGTCATTTTATTTTTAAAAATTCAATACATTCAAAGAACATTAAGTGAAAGTGAAATGAAGTCACATGATTTCTTTTTTGCCATTTCCCCCTTCCTTTCCTGTTATGTTGCATTGCAGTACGAATGCAGAATGATCTCATTTTTAAACTGGGGTGATCATCTCTTTAAAATGATCACAGAATTTTTTAAAAACTGCGGTAGCCACGGGTTGCGTGCTCTTTCCAGAAATAACAGTCAATGGAGGGCACCGTCATTTCATTGAGAGCAGTAATAATGCGTCTGCCTGTGCATTCATTGCAAAATGTCTTTCTGTAGCCAACTTGAAAACCCATGAGGAGTCTAAATAAGTTCTTAAGACTTGCTAAATTGTTTTAATTGATGTGAGTGAAAATAATTTGATAGTATTCCCTGATGTCTGGATCAGGTAGGGTTTTAAACCACTGTGCAGCCAGACCCAACCCCCCCCCCAGAAAAAAATCCTGGATCCGCACGAGGTGAAACGAAATCACGGGGGCGGATCCAGAATTTATTTTTTCTAGGGGTTCGAAATTTTTTTTCGCACGAAGTCCGAGGGACCTTTGTTCAATCCATTTAACCTCTGTTTTGTCCTAAATTAACAGAACACGTAAATATGGCCCTCAGGACATACAGGGTACGAGGTTTTTTGGAGGGATTGCAACATTTAGACGACCGTGAAAAAATGTGGGCGGGGGGAGACCTCCAACCCTCTGGATCCGCGCCTGCATCAGCAAAAACTGATATGATTAACTGACATATAGACTTCTGTTTAGTACACTTCCTGAGTTCAAACGTTTCCTTTTTTCCTTTGATGGTGGGGGATTTGGTCATTCGTCCTCTTGCTGTTGCCCTTTCTGATACTGCGTCCAGCCAAAATGTAGGCATACATTTGGGGAATTAACCATGCCCAAGATATTAAAAATCAACTAGAAGTTGCCCTGAAGACGAAGGCTAGTTTAAAAACGTCTATCATTAGGCAAGCGTATAAAATATCCAGATGACCTTGTATGGGGTTTGGAGTGTGATCCTTTTCAATTAAAACAAAATGTTTTCAAAATGTGTAAACCTAGCCAGCAAATTGACACTAATCTATTCCTAAAGACAACTACCAGTTTAATGTTGATTACTACATGAGACCAGCCGGAATGACGTGTTTCGGAGGCTTTACTCACTGGCCATTGCATCAATTTCACAGCGACGATTAGAAAAAAATGCAGCCTATTGACGCATCCAGGTCTGGGGTCCAGGGGAGCGAAATCTATCTTCCCACTTCCCCTCTCCCATGACAGTCCAATTGTTTTCCACCTTTAACAGAATCCTTGCCCCCAAACTGAGATTAGGTGGTCATCCAGTTTATAGCATGCTCATGATTTCAATTCCTCAAAAAAAGAAACATGTCAGAAGGTCTATTTCTCTCCCACCCGGCTTGATACGCTGATGCTGCAACCAAGAATGTTTGGTTAATGCCAAGCTGTACCAAAGTACGAAGCTTTTCCAACCCTTATTTTCCCCTTTTTTTACTTTTCATTTTTTTCCAGGGGAGGGAACATGTGCCCGCGCGATTCCCACATACTGCAGACAACTAAGGTAACAAATAACCCAACAAATACGAAAGCAATACCGAATGTTCGACATTTTTCCAACATGCAAGGAAACAAATGGTTTATTTCTGCTTTGTCCAGTGTCACTGCAAACTGAACAGAAACAATCATGGCACAATTTAATTTTATTATTAAAAACCTGGATTGATAGCAGAGGTAGATCAAGAGGAAATTTGAAGGAAGAAAATGACTAAAGTAAATGGGGTTAGAAAGGGGTGAGAAGTAGCGAGACGCATACACATCATCATTAAAATATACTAACAGGAACAATAAACATACGGTCAGTATAAAATATTCGGCAAATTCTAATTGATTTAATAGGTGTTGATAAAAGCTCGATAAATTTCAACCTAACAGCTATAACAGCTCAGTAGGTAATATACTGAAACATTACACTTTTAAACGTTACAAATACAAATAAATTAATTTCAGAAAAATAAAATAAAATTATACTTCCGTCATACATAATAAAAAAAGAAACCCTTTAGTATCAAATGAATTATTTTGTTGACACATACACTCACTTAAAAATAGCAATTTAAAACAAAAAGTCACAGCGATAATATTGACATAACATGCACTCTATATTCTAATTTATGTACATAAGTAATTTTATTGCTACTCAGTTGAAATATACGGATATATTGCAGCAAATAAAAACTCTGAATATTATTTACATTTATTTTGGCTCTGGTTATATGAGGTGAGTATAATTCTATGAAGAATTGGCCAATATCAGTGTCGGTTTCACTAGTCAATGTGGCCTGCTTTTTAATAACAGTATTACTTAAAAGTTATTTACATATTAGGGCCTTCAATTAAGTCAATTACATATTGGCAGTGAAATATTTTGAATTTGCAAATTAATAATAATACACTCTGCAAGTACGTGAACAAGGATCCATACTGTATGAGTGATGTTGAGAATGAACTTTCTCAATCAGACAGTGCTAAACAGACAGACAGTCATGGGGGGGGGGCTGACTGTTTACGTGAAGGTGGGGGTATCCCATACCTCTCTGTGATTTAAACTTTTTGCCTATATAAATTGTCACTGTATTACTGTTGACGTAAAAAATTTTTATTTCAAATAACACATTTAAATGTTGAGATTATTCAAATTAGTGCTACATAGCCGTCAATGCTGAGTTGCCTGACTGATAGCTATACTAGGGTCACTGCACTTTGGACCACTCAGTAAATGAGTGTGTAGGAAACTCACAGCATTCTTGTTTAGTCGCTTGATCCCTTTTACTTTTCGTTTAGTCTCAGTAACAATACTTCACCAAAACACTCTTCAAATACTATGCACCATGCAACTTCCTAACTCTATCCAGCAGTTGACTAGTATACAAATATCGACTGCTTCAAGTGGTGTAGTAAAACTAGTCTCCCCGAGATGATCTACAAAGAATTCTATTTTTGATGTGGGAAAATGGAATGCTCAATCTCAGGAGGCTCATTTTATAACACAAAATAAAGCAGTTGATATTTCTTTCATAACACTTCTCCCACAGATTCTGCTTGATTAAAAAAATATCTGATTAATTTGATCTGACTACATATAAAAATATGTCTATTTGAATGAGACATTTGCTGCATATTTACCAGGGCTTTTCCAACCTACCTCTTTACAAAATGGTTGAACCCAGCACTGTAGCGCTAGTGCTTTGGAATGCATGCAACACGCACACCTGTATCCATTTGCACACAATGACAGTAGTCATGCATATAGTTCTTTGCTTGCTGTGGGGATACTTGTTCCTCTTTTGGCTGCACACAACAAATTAGCTAAAATAGCAAACGCCATATGACTGACTCTCGGCCAATCAAGATACAGAATCTGTAGGTGAGGTGTTATTAAACATACTGCCCTCTACCACTTATGCAAGAGGGAATTAACAGCTTGGTGAAGTAAAACCAACTAATGTGTACACACGCAATCTTCAACTTTCATCTACCAATTGGACAAATTTTTCTAGTATCCATTCCTGTCATCTGTTTAAATTCAAGAAAACTTTCTTCATTATCATCATCTACCTGTGAAGGAGAGACCTTGTAACACTGCTATGCAGAGGATCATAACCATTTAAACAAATAAACCCAACTGTGAAAGTGAAGGAAGCCTTATACAGTGGACGTTTTACCTGTTGGTTGGTACCCTGCCACTGGTGTCACAGGTACAATGTCATTCTGTTGAACAGATACAAAAGTAGATTCAAAAAGATTAATTCCTGATTACTCCTCTAAAAGACCAGAGCTACTTAGTAACTGCAAACTTGTCTCACATAATATCTGATGTGATGGTTGAAATCATGATGGGATATTTTCTTTCGCTATATTTCAATAGAAATATAAAATCTGAAAAGGTGGTATTGTTCATGTGAATGAATTGGGCAAAATATATGAAAAGGAGACAAGATACAAGTAGAGTTCTCAGTCTAAAAATTGTTTCCTGATTTGAATGAGAATTTGTGTTTGATCTTCCACGACTCCTCCTTTCCTCATAAACCTTGCCAACCAGCCGCATCTATCCCTCTAAGTACCCAACACACATCTTAACTACAAATGTGTAGACTGCAGGGAGATGATGCAGGTCCTAGAGTCTGTGAATCATAAATCATGAGGATTTTACAAACATACGTGTAGGTATTCATCGATTTGGTGGAACAGTTGTGATGAAAATACTGAGGTTATATAAACTGTTAGCCATATTTACTTCTGTTAAACATCAACATTACCTGTCCTTGAAAAAACCAAAGAATTCCCCTTATATACTCTTGGATAGCTTGGGTTTGAGGGTGGGGGTTGTGGGATGTGAGTGGGGATTATGTGCTAGGGGTTATGGGGTGGGGTGGGAGTGGGGGGTGGTGGGGTCTACCTGTGTTTTTCTCCTCTCAATAAAATCCACCAGTCTAGATGTGTCAAGTCGTAATGTAGGCGTCTGCATGGGTGAATCTCCACTACTGACTGACCTTACCCAGTCATTCCTTAAACAGTCCTCAACACAGGGTCTGTCACTGATGACAAGAAAAAGAAATCTTCATGTATACCACAAAGGATTAATGAAATAGGATGCAAATCGGTGACTTTCAGAAGTTCATGACAGTCGGAAATCAATTAAACAATTATGTCATGTTGGACTGATACCGTAGCTCTCTGGAATATATACAACCTGCCATCCACCAAGGAAGCAGTGAACAAGGTTTAAAATCTTGACATGTTTAATGATGTTTAACAAAATCTCTGCATATTGGCAAATGGAGACAAAGACAAGTATCACCATGACA